TAGCTATCAATCATAAGTATCGCCCAGTTTGCGTTTGGCCAGTGCCATAGTCGTCGACTCCCCGCTGCGCGAAACCATCGCCGAGCATTTTGCCTATTATGGGACTTTCACAATGCCGGCCTGATCGCCATCCTCAGTGCTGTTATGAGCTCCGCCTCTCTGAATGCGTCGTGTCCCATAACAAACAGCCCCTTCCAAATCCAAAGCTTTGAGTTTCGGAGAGCGAAGTAGGCTAATGGCCCGTCTCGGAGGGTGGGGGAGCCATCAGCCGACTGTTTTAGCAACCCCGTGTTCTCTTGAGTCAATGCCGAGTGGAGAGCTGTCGCATATTACGACCCTGTGGACCGCACCTGGAGGGATAAGTACAGCGCCAACATGCGGTTCCAGTCTCTCGAGCCCTCCGTGGAGTTTTGATATCCTGACGACTCAGAAATTTATAGAATATATCCTAACAGCCAAACCACAAGTTACTGTTAAGGACGTGCAAGTCAGTGTAACCGCCAAACTCGAATTCCATAGCAAACAAGCCGACGGGAAAGCGCCTGGCATTGTCCCCATAGCAAAACTTGTTTCCATTCTTAGAGCTCATTTACTGACGCTGTAAGCGTATCACTACCACAAAACTCAGCTTATGCTCCTTGTTCTCGCGAGCCTGGTTCTTGCCAACTCATCATACATGCTAGAATTAACAAAACTGATTTCACGCAGGCGCCACAGACATCCTAACGCGTAAGAACAGGTTTTCAACGTTTATAACAGCGTATAGGATCACAATATTGCCGCCATTATGCAAGACAATGTACTTTCGTCACTACTTCTTCACCCATGATTGGGTCTACAAATAGAGGTGGACACACCTCATTCAAGTCTCTGACCACAATAATGATACCGTATCATTTAAGACCAGGTAGCAGGCCATTGGAGCAATGGCGACGCCATAAACCTGCTGCCAAGCCTTGAGTGTGGTCAACAGACGTGTCGAGGCCCCCTATGTGACGAGACATGCAGCCAACAGGAGCCAGCCCTCGCTTGTCTTTTCCTAATATCGGATAGCTTCATGCCTGGCTTATCTAACACCTTCCGTTATGGGGTACTTGCTTCTGCTGTTGGGTTGCTGTGCGTTGTAGTGGCTTCCACCAAGTGTCATACCACCATCACGTCCAAGCAGACGGTGGACTACCTGTTTTGGGTACCAGATCACCGGAAGAATTCCGGTGATCTCAATTTCGCAAGGCAATTTTCCTTATCGTTGTGTTTGTGCTACCTTTTGCGACCCATTTATGCCCTTTCGCACTCTGTTCAGCCTTTTCTCACAACTTTCCATGTCTTGAAAGCGCACTATGTCGCAAATACCATCAAGCTATCAGTGCCAATGTAAGCCCTGCTCCACTAGTACGTATCATACTCGCTCAGTGTCAAAGGCTTGCACAAACCAACTATCGGCTCGGGAGCAGCACTCTGGAGTGCCAGGTTCAACGCAGCTGGGGTCACGCCAATCATCACATCCAACCAGTGGCAGAAACGAGCATCTGGTGTCAAGACTCATGCAATCTATCATTCGTTATTGGGGCTTAATGATGCTGGACCAGGAGGTGCTCAAAAGCCAAAGCCAGCCAGACGATATACCCTCCAGTCCTGCTACTACTCTCAGCAATGACAATACGAGCGATGGAGGGTCTACCACCAGTCTTTCCAAACTTGATAGATACTCGGATATTGAAGAAGAACCAGCGGATGGCTCAGCGAATCAGGGAGTTTCAATGGACCAAACAGATCCCGCGTCGAATGAAGTTGCAGGTCTAACGAAGTTCACCTTAAAGAGCCTTTTGTTAGGTGAAGAACTCAAGAGGCTCCAAGTCTGGAAAACATCGTTTTCCAACGAGGAGCTGGATCAGCTACCTACTATCGATCATGAAGTTGCACAGAGCGTACTAAAATGCTTGACGAGCGTTGCCAGCATACTGATCGATGGGTCAAGTCAGTCATTCCCTCCTTCCCATCCTTGACCGCAGTGTTTGCTGATCGTCCAGCAGAAGAATGGCGAATGAGATCTGAGCCAGACGACCTTGGGACTGAAGGGGCAATTCTAGAGAGCCTACTAGAAAAGATAGAGACAAAAATATCGGAAAACAATGTCGAGAACGAGACAATGACGGATTGTAGTGGTATTTCAGAGTCAGATGAATCTTACTCGACCGTTGGGAATCCAAGCTTAATCAAGGCTCTCAAATATGAGATCGACAGACTTCAATTGCTTTCTCACTCTTTGCGTCTTGGAATGAGGACCAGAGTTATATTCACAGATAGCTAAACATTCGATAACCAATATGTATAAACCGTTACCAAATAAAGCATGCCTTCGCGCACAAGATAGGCGGTTTCCAGATACGTATATAGATCCTGTTTTAGGATTTCTAGTTAATATTCTCTTGATATTCCATGCCATCCATTTCACCGCGCTTAACCATTTCCCTGAGAGGACTAATGACAGACTGATAAAACTTTTGCTGGAACGTTTCATAGTCGCTTTGTTCATCACTACTGCTTTCACCATAAGCGATGCAATAGCGAACTGCCTCCTGGTATTGAACACTTGTCTCGGTTCCCAGACGACTCAACTCCTTATCAAGCTGTTGCTGTATTATCGGCCCTTTGAGTTCCTTCCAAAGCCCAAGCTTCAGAAGGACATGTCCAAGGTGGTACATGAACCTTTTTGGCTTTGCAGATCCGTGGTCAAACATGGTGGCCCGCAGAAATGGCATCTTTTCAGATTCGATGGGATAGAATTTGATGTCCTGCGTACCCCATCCATCACCAAGCCATTCTTGCCAGCCATATCGGATAGTCGCTTCAGCCAGCTTCAAAGCTAGCTTGAAACGACTGTTTCGAAGGGATCGACTTCGTTGGAAGAGAGTGAGGTAACGCCGATGTTTCTTTCTCTTGTTCGATAGTAGCCTTCTCTGATCTCCCTCCCGTATAATCTTAGAGAGAGTGAGAGGTTTGCAACTTGTCTTTGGCCGCTTATTCTTATCCAAGTAGAATATCTGGTGGCCGCTGTCCTGGTCAACAACTATACACATGGCCAAACGATCGCTACCTTGCGCAAGACTTCCAGGGCATACCTGAATTCGGCAAAACTCAGTGATGTTTTCTGATGTTTGTATTCGCTCATTTAACGACGATGCAGTGATAGATGAGTATCCAGAGTCACGACGCCAACGTTGACGAAGCCCATTTATAACTGTCACCAAAGGCGAAGACGGCTCTGAGTAGACAGCATCCCCATCGTCCCTGGGGAGGACCAACCGGGAGTGAGCTTCAAACCAAATATAGTCTCCCTTGTTAAAGTTGGACTCTATAGCAACGTGATGACCGGTTATGGCAACGTCATTTGGATTAATACACAGTGGTTCATACTCTTGAACTGGCACAAGTCCAACGAGAGCTGTATGTCCGTGTGCTTGCTCTTGGCCGTTCACTGGGCAGGCTTCGCACAAGTGACGATAGAGTGTTTTCGTAGCCGAACTTGATACGTAGAGCCTGGTGAAGCTTTTGGTTGATTTCGATGCTGGCTGGAAATTCGATAGCCGGTAGACCAAACTTTCGATGGCCGAAACATCAAATCCAATATTTTCGATGAGCCTGTCGAGATCCCTGAACATCTTTGAATTTCGAATCTTCCCCTCACTTGACCGACCCTATCGTCCTTCAATTAGCGAAGTATATACGAGTTGACTAGATCCTTACCCGGCTTCGAGTGGGACCTCGTGGAAGCGAATCGATAGCATCCTGTAGTTTGCTACATACACTTGCTAGTCTCTGCTTCAGATCTTCCACGCTGCTTTCACCCATAGACACTTGGCTTTGCCCACTATTGCCCGCAGCTGTATGCCATTGTTGTACCAGAGATACGTGAATCTTGATTCTCATCTTTTGATCCCTGGCCTTGTCACGGAGTTGTTTCACACAAGTCGCCCTCATGTGCGGTGTTCGCTCTAGCAACATTTCGTAATTTTCCATCAAACTGCTATTGGTCTTACTGATTTGATCCAAGTCAGCTCCAGAAATGCCCGGTGGCAGTTCCTGCATGGTCTCAAATTCGAAGCCCTCATCCTGATCCTCTTCGAGGGCCGGAATTGGTCCGAAGTAGAAATCGTCTTTGATGGCAGATAATGTCGGGGCTGTTACTTGAGGAGGACTGATCTTAAGAGTTTTTATCCTAGCCCTTCGAATCTGTACACGGTCGCCGACAGCGCCGTTTACCTGGATCGAATTGTGGTTTGCTTGGTTTCCAGAAGCACCTTGCGAGATTGTTTGAGAGTCCATCTCAAGCTTTAGGAAAACTGGCGTCGCGTAGAAATTGGAAAGTGAGTGACGGAAAACAAATCAGGGATATGATTCCATCAAATGATCAGTTGTTCAGGTAGGGGGAAAGATAAGTCCGGGACCCCAGCAACCCGAGGCTCAGTCTACTGGATGGGACCAAATACGGAAAGGCCAAGCCCCCACTGATATTTTCAATAGTATGCATAAGAGTTCGCAAACCAATATTGTCATGCATGTCATCAAATAGTAGCCAACCTGGTTGGCTGGCCGGTGTGACGGGACTGCATTGCATTGCATTTACACGTAGCCTTGGAAAGCACGCCATGGCTTTGCTTATACCACGACAAAATAACCCCTCTTTTTCCAAAACCATCACAGCCTACCGCTGAATGGGTGTCCTGATTTCCAATCAGATGGCATGAAATTGAACAGATGATTAGATGGTGTATCTACTCGTATGCGGCTGAGGAAGAAGAGCCAACGTGGCCCCAACCAATGCTAGTCAGCTCCATACCTTGAGGGAGGGCGGAAATTTCCTCCGTAGTCTTTTGAGCCGCAGCACTGTACATATTTTGTGATTTGAAGTGGCTTTCAGCCCAGGTCTATTGCTTTGTGTTCTTTTGTCTCCAGTCTGCCTAGCCACAACGTAAATCCACTTTATTATTGCTTCCATCATGGTAACTTCCATCCCAAATACCATTTGTCTGCTATTGTGACTAACGTAGTCGTATTTACAGATCGACCCTGTCGGAGCAATTGCAGCTGCCACAGCCTCAATTGATCAATCCCTCAAACTTATCCGACGAGTCTCTACAGCCATTGAGATCCATAAGAATGGCAGAAAAGATCTAGAGTTCATTTTCAATGACCTCTTTAGTATCGCTCAGGTCATAGAGCTTGTCCAAACCATCGAAGAAATCAGAACCAAAGGAGTCCTTAAAGCCTTAGCAAATATGCTAAAACATGCTGAAAAGTTAGATGATCATATCCAGCAGGTCAAAAAGAAATCCAGCACCGGATCTTCACTTCGTCGCGCCGCTCACCACTTCATGACTGGCCCTGAGGATCTAGAGCATACTACTAGAGTAGTCAATGAGCTAGCATCTCTCAAGACAACCCTCATCCTTCATATCCAAGTGGCTCATGTTGGCCTTGTTGTCCAAAATGATCAGGATAAGAGGGCAAACCCAGGTTGCACTCACATGCTGGACAGTTCGCTTCTCCATGAGGTTAATCACATCGTTGAGCAGAGACTCGGTAAGGGACAAGGGCTGAAGATAGCTGAAGTCCTTCGAGACAGGAGTGCAGACGGCACGCATTATGTCCATTCTGCCACGAGTGATAGCTAACCAGATTCTATAGGTGATGGCATGATTCGCCTTACCCAAGAGGAGTATGAATGCCTTGTGTTTCATAGTTTGGACGATAGTCAACTCATCCAAGAACTCAGTACGCCATGGCCCGTTAAGATATTTTTTCAGAGGCTAATACTACACAAGGTACAATTCGCGTTGCCAATAACCATAGCTTTGATCAAGCGCTGCAAATCAACGCATTCATAAGCGATGATTGGGCGGAGTTCGCTCATAACCTTACTGTCGAGGACAATGAGGCTCGCAACCAGTCGATTCAGGTAAATGTACCTACTCGGACACAGGAGTTCGCCAACGTTTTGGCCAGCAGAAACAAAATGTTCGAAATGATGCCGAGTTCGGCTTGGGCACCAACTCCACTGATGCCAAAGCAAAGTTTCAGAAGCCTGGAGTGAATTTGTATCCTCTCTTCCGACTAGTTGAGTGTAGGGGGGTTAGACGGATGATGCGTGGTGGGGGCTGGGGTCTTGGCTGTAAAGGCAGCAGTCTACGGTTGAGAAGCTGTGGCCTGAGTGTCGTTCCCTAATACCGAAATAAGCATACAACGGTAGTAGAAGGTCTTTCCTTTGTATATTATGAGAATGGATGGCATTGACTAGGGAATGTAGAAGCAAGAGTCAATAAAACCTCGAATCAGATGTAGAGGATTTCCAGGGCTTGCAGTGATTTTTCATACAATGAATGATGATATGCGCATGTTTTAACAAGCGTAGAGTTGATCTCTAATTATCGAGATAATAAGAAATAATTAAATAAGTTTTAATCTCTTTACAATAATAAAAGAGGAAATAATAGAAGTTATATACAATTATTATAATAAGCCGGGGGATTTTACTAACACCATCTTTATACTCAAGGGTAAGTAACTCGAGAGATAAGATAACAAAGAGGTCAACTTCTGGCCGTCTCAAGTAGGCTGTGCGTGTGAATTCTAGATCGGGTGGAATATAGTGACAAAATAGACGCCACTTGACAGAACTCGCACCAAGTAGCTTACCAGGATCGGGGATGTCTAAGCTCGCACTCGCTCTCGTCAGCGCTAATGAAAAGTCCGTAGGATCCAGCTAAAGTCCGATCGTTCAGGAGGCAAAAACTCCGTTTTGATTGGAACGTTGTTTGTTGAGGGCGACTTAGCGACTTGGAATTATAACAATCTGACATATTCCTCAGATTAAATCCCAATCTTATCTCATTCATCTTTCTATTCTTTGCTCGATACCTGGGGATCGAACATGGAGTCTTTCAAAGTTATCGTCGTTGGCGCTGGGCCAGTCGGCATGGTCCTGGCTCACGCGCTGCAAGTCTCTGGCATCGACTACGTCCTCGTTGAGCAGCGCTCTCAAATTCCTCCTGATCCTGCTTACGGCTTGTTTTTGTGGCCTCATATCATGCGAATATTCCATCAGTTAGGTCTTCTCGAAGCCGTTACAGCTGTCGCGCAGCCTATGGTTGAAGCGGTTCATAGATCAATTGACGGCAGTGTTATTCATCGCTCCAGAGGTTTTGAAGAGCTTGGCGCATTGTAAGTCTAAGTTTATGCGCTGCGGGACATTTTACTGATTACTCGAAGGTTCGGATATCCTATGGCTATTTTTAACAGAGGCGATTTTGCCTCGGCGTTGATGAGCAAGCTTGAAAATAAGGACCAGCGCGTCAAGACAAACAAGCGCCTCACCAACGTCATACACCACGACAACGGTGTAACAGTTAAATTCGCAGACGGTACCACAGAAGTGGGATCAATTGTTATTGGGTGCGATGGTGTCTGGAGTAGTGTCCGCGACCAAATGAAAGCGAAAGCACCAAAAGGTCTTTTCGACGAGAACCCCAATCCATTTCAAGCTCCTCATGCAGGCGTGTTTGCCAAAGCTCCTTGTCCCAAAGAGCTTGAGCGTGGTAGAAACATTAATGTGTACCAAGAGGGGTCTCACGTTCAGGTATTTACTGGTCTGAGAGAAGCGCAGATTATTGTATATCATCGTATTCCGACTTCGAGAACGAAGACGTTCTTTGGACAGAACGATGCCGAGGAGGCGGCCAGACCTTGGATGGATGTTCCGGTTGGAGATGGAATTACGTTTGGTGATCTGTGGAAGAATAAGATTGCTGGGGGCAGTGCAAACTTTGATGAGGGTGTTTTGCCGTGGTGGCATTGGGGACGCATGGTTCTTGTCGGCGATGCTGCTCATAAGGTAAGTTGCATACCTGTTTGGCTGACTCGATGCTAAAATTGGACAGATGAACCCCATCAGAGGTGCAGGAGCGTGCTGCGGCATCGAGGACGCCATCGCCTTAGTAAACGGCCTCAGCCGGCTCCTCCACTCCGACGCCAACCCAGCAGACCGCAAGCTCCGTCAGGCTTTCCTTACATATCAATACGAGCGCGAGGCTGCAGCAAAATTATGGAATGACATCTCTGCGCTGAACCTGGAACTCTGCATCGGGGCCGATCAGCCTGCATTGAAAGCGCAAGGCGTTGCGGATTACAGGACTATTCCGTTAGTTGCTGATGGACCCATCTTGCAAAATATCCCTTTTGAGGAGAAGACGGGTTTTGTACCGTGGACTAGAAAGACACGCAAGTCTGATGAGAAGATTAAAGCGCGTTTGTAGTTTCGAGGTCGGTGTATAGTTAATGGCCATGGTGGACTGTATAGTGTATCAAGGAGCAGCTCGATCAGGTAGATTAGGCAAGACATATATAAATAATGCAATTGTATGGGATCTCGGCGGTTTAAACCGGATGAACTGTAGTAAAGCTAGCCACGACGTGATACGAACACCAGTACAATCTCCCTCTCCTGGTGCCTATAATTAGATGGCGGTCCATGATGAAACAACACATGCCCAACCGTGGCTTGAAAAGTCTCACTCGATAGGCTTATGGTAAATCTCATGGGTAGTACAAGCCAATAGTCTGTCTTGGCACTGAGGCTCATTGGTAACGCTGATGAATTTGGACCAGCCCGAGGTCAGAAATCAGTAAGCCACGTAAAGCTGAAAAGCAGGCTGGCGGCAATCAACAAAACCCGACAGGTGAAGAGGGAAGATGCAGGTGTTTTAAAGCATGAATCATCCTATGTTTAATCTCGATCTACACCCTTATTCTTTCTTCCTTTTTTTTAGCCTCTTGGAAAGCGCGCCATGGCACGACTCACTTTGCAGAGCGTTATCATCAGCGCCCTTTTCTTGGGTGTCGCTCAAGCAGAAACCAACAGCACTTCTGGTAATACCACCATGGTCGGATGGGTGTCCCCCGCACCTAGACGAAGTACTTGGAGTATCATCTGGAGCTGCCTCTCGATTTTCATTGTTTGTTCCTGGAAATGCGTCCATCTCAACATCCCAACCCACGAAGAGATTCAGGGTGAATGGCATACAATTCAGCTGTGCAGAGGCCTGCCTGACGTCTCTTTCTGGCCTAAAGCACCATTGCGCCGAAAATGGAGACGCAAGATCATCTGGATGACAGCCATTGCCCTCGCGCCTGAGTTTGGAGTTGCACTGGCTGCAATGCAGTACAGGGATGCCCGCCGGGAACTAAAAGAGTTTACAAAAGATCTGTCTCATGAAGAGTTGGTATAGTTGCCACTGGTGGAAAGCTATGAGGTCTAACATAAGTTAGTGCACGGAAATATACCATGGCTCATGCCTTTTATGTTCAGATGGGTGGTATTGTTTACTATACACCATCACCTCAATCGTCAACAGTGGAAGGGGATTCTGCTACAAATATCCAGTCAGGAAACGAAGTAACCCATGGGGCCCATACAGGCTATCAACCCCTCGGAGAGAGACAGGAACCCGGTTCCCTCGGGGATAGATCTGTTATAGCTAGCATAGCTGAATCTCTATGTAGGTCACCGTGATTCCCATTTTCTCCTGAACATACTTTGTGTACTTCTATTGACAGAAACCTACCTGACACAAAGATCTGACTCCCTTACAGCGGATATTGATCCTGATATGTTTAAAATTCCCGGGTCTGAGATTAAGGATCTAAGCAAAGCTGATGTCATCACCAAGGCATTTGCTATCATCCAGTGTACGTGGCTTGTTGTGCAAAGCATTTGTCGAATAGCACAAGGATACACCATATCGTTATTGGAACTGGCGACCTTGGCCTTCATCTTTTGTGCTTTTATTATGCATATTCTCTGGTGGAATAAGCCTTTTGATGTTGAATCGAGACGCATTATCATAGCGATACCGCCTAATCTGGAAAACACAGCAGGTCTAAACACTATATCCATGGATGACCTAACAGTTTTAAATGGTGGCCTGTCTCGGGAAAGAAACAAGGATTTATGTGGGGATAAATTTCTAGAACTTGTTTTCGAATCGTTACTAATCGTCGATCCCACCGATAAGAATCGACCTTTTACATATTATCTGCCGTCCGTCTCGCTATACATCGCCTCAACGACATTCCTCGCCATTCACCTATCTGCATGGAACTGGGAATTCCCCTCGGAAGTGGTCAAATCTCTATGGAGATGGCTTAACGTTGGAACGCTCGGGGTTTCTTTCATGCCCTTGATGACCTTCTTCCTCTTAGTCTGGGATATCAGATCGCAGACCATCGAGGGTGTTAAGAACATTGTAGTATTTTTGATCATATCAGCAAGCGGAGTTACCTACATTGTATTGAGGCTGGTGGTTCTCGGATTGACGTTTTATTGTCTGTCATCGATGCCGGAGAGAGCATACGATACTGTGGATTGGTTGGCGTGGGTCCCGCATTTCTCATAGGAGCTTGCTTAGTTGATGGTGAGAGGCTCGATACAGGCAATGATTGCGCAGTGGATCTCGGTAGTTGCAGATAGACTGAGGAATGGCCATACGACGGCGCAGTTCAAGTGATAAATGACTATTGCTTCTGAAATAAAGACAAAACAACCTTCCTTCGTCTCCACCAAGTCCTGCCAAGCGGAGACATTTAACATGACGATGTTCGGCCTGACGTTATCACCGCGGCAGATCACCAAACCTTGACCATAAAACACGCCAAGATCGTCAACGGACTCAAATTGCGACGCTGCCATAAACCCCATTTTAAGTCCGTATCACATCCAATATGATGCCATCTGCAGTGGCACGTGGGGACGTTGGAGCAAGGGTGTTGCCTGACGGTGACTCCGTAGCCGGTTTCACATCTCCACCAACGAGTCATGTTCAATCCGGCGATTACAAAGATTCGCTATCACCATAAGCACAACGACCTTCCAGAAAAAGAATGCCAATGAACTTTATTCATCTCTAATTGTGATTTATGCTCGGACCGACAATAGAGTTGCATCGATGAAACTCCAACCCGCAATCGATCATAGCCATATCTGGAGATGTTACAGGGGTACACACAACACGAGGCACCTATTTCGAAACTCTGCAGGGGACCATAGTTTCAAGATCTGGTTCAACGTCATGCATATTCCCTTTTTGAATCCGATAAGACCAGTTCCCCAGTTGTTAAAGTTCAGCTCCCTCAACCTGAAGCCCTGCCAAGGCGGTTACTGCCTACGAGATGACAAGACGAACCTATTGCTTCTATTGGAGCGAGTTTTGTGTTCCGGTTACGTTTTGTTAATTCATTAGAGTTCAACTGCCGACTAAAGTATTTCTGGAGTATTATATTGGCCCCCACGATTTTACTGTATATAGTCTCGCGATGTAAGCCGATTGAGTTTCGTCTGAACCATCGACCATCTTGTAACATTCATTTTTCGCTGCTGGTCACGCACAGTCTTTTCTTATCTTTTCGAGAAGTCATTCATTCATCATGTCTATTTTTGCAACCGTGTTACTGTCTCTTTCTTTTTCCACGGTCGTTTCTGCGATTCCGTTGGTTGAGCGTCAGGATAATGGGACCGCTCCGGCTGACCCTGGGGTTGATTGTTCTCCATCGTCGTCTACTGGTTTGAAGCCTGAGTGCTGGAAGGCCTGTGAGTAAATAGCATTACAGTGGGGAAGAATGATGCTGATGAGGGTAGTGGACATGGAGAAGTACATCAATGACTGGGTCACTGAGAATGGAACCAAGGCCAACTGCGACGAACTTGGTTTCGCTCAGTGCTACCTTCAGTTCAACGTAAGCAAACCAAATACCACGAAAATAATTTGAGCTGACCGGATAGGGCTTCACTGGTCTTACATGCAACTTGATCACCAGCGACACCTGCCCTCCCTTCAACACCAAGGATGTTTCCAAGTACGACTCCAACCAACAATTCTACGTACGTTCCTCACTTCCCCCACACTCCACAAACTCACACATGCTAGGCCCTCTGGAACATCTACACCGTCTACCAGTTCTTCAACCAATACTCTCGCGCTCTCAGCAACGGTGCCTCCCTCGCCGGCCAAACCATCGATGCCATCGTCGCAAAGGTTGCTCCTCCCGTCGAAGCCAACACCCCCACTAGCGGCCTCATGAACATCCTCGGCTCCACCCTCGGTATCGTCTCCATCTTCACTGGTCTCGTTCCTGGCGATGCTGGTGTCGCTGTTGGTTTTATCCGTGCTGGTCTCGGTGCTGCTTTTGATCTCTCCGGTAAGCTCGGTGAGACTTTGACAAAGACCCAGACTGCAAACGACCGATTCATCCAGCTTGGTGATATTGGCTCTGGGCTTGCTAAACTTGTTGAGGCTTATCAGAATAACCTGCTTGAGACTGTTAAGCTTGTGCAGGGCGATCCTGCTATCTTCATCGCTGCTTGCCAGGACGGTGGATTCTCTCAACGTGTCACTACCTCTCTTACCATCCAGGCCAATACTCTTTACCATCAGCTTCAACTCTTCATTCTTTCCAGCGCCCTTAAGGCCAACGGCATCGTCTCGGCCAAGAGCACTGGCCTCAACGCTCAGACTCGTGCAAGTGATACCGGAGGCGCCATCTCCTGCGACGCCCTCGACCCAGCTGGTAACTGCAACCAGTGGTGGATCGACGGCGCCGACACTTATGCTCTCCACAACCCTAATGACTGGCGAAACAACCAGATTGAGCTCACCAAGGCTATCGTTGACGAGGGCTGGGCTACGCTTGCTGACGTCTTCAAGGTTGAGGACTGTGCTGGCAAGGAACCCACTTTCAACGGCAAGGAGCTTGGCGTTACCTGTCTTGTAAGTGAGCATATCTTATGTGTTGATCAGAGGTCACTAATAATACGCAGGCAACTCACAACTGGTGCGAGTGGAACTACCAGGACTCTCCTTCGCTGTCGCGATCTGAGCCTCAGTGGAAGAACTGCGACAACGACGACAAGTGGGGAACTCTTTGCGGAAGCTTCCAGAACGGACTCGAGAGTAAGTCAATCATATTCCTGGATGTTTCCATAGAACGAGACTAATTAAACGTTTAACAGTTCCCGAATCTTACCTCGGGCCTCTGCTCAATAGCGACCAGACCTGGTGTAAGCGATAAATTAAGCACTTGAGTGTTTCGATTGGATCGTCCTTTGACGCTGCTTGAGACTTGCTAAAGAGCTCATCTGAACCTGCTATCGAGGTTATGTTTGTAATTAGAGCCGTTGTTTGAGTACTGGCACCTGGAGGATATTGTGTATCATAGCTTAGAAGCCGACGAGATAAAGATGGAGTTTAGGTGGAGTTCGTAGTTCTATATTTCCAATATGCAATTTGGTCAAACACGAGCCCGAAGCTTACCCACATTAACCACTTAATGCTGTAACATATTAAACCCATCAGGGACTACGAGCCTGCCAACCCCAATTACAACTACGGCCATTGTCTGGGTACTTGTTATGGTGATTCGAGCGTGTTTCTGAGACCTTTGGTCCAAGATGAGAGACGTTGACTTGATAATTGAGGCTTGCATCACGAGTGGCCCACCTTAAGCCCACTTTGCGAGGTTCTAGGAAGTAGATGTAGCACGTTCCAGTATCGGTCTGAGAGCCACGTTGATTACACATAGTTCAAGGCTAGTATGAGTAAGAGTACTAGTAGAAGTGACATATATATGTTCAGTTATATAAAGTAATAATATACACAGCATGGGAAAAAGGAAAAACCGAAAAAGTGTCAGTCCTTGGTCCCAACCAGCCAACTAAAGAAGGTGATACACACTTGCTACCAGAGCAATATCAAGCGGACAAAGACATCTAGCACTTGCCAGCCTTGGTAGGCTCACACTCGCCGTTGGACTTGTCACAACCGTTGTAGCCCTGGCACTGGGTCTTGGGGTAGCAGTTGTTGGAGTAGGTGGCCTATCACCTTTGGTTAGCATGGTAAGTCAATTGCATATGTCGGAATCACTTACCTTGTCACCGAGGTTGGTGTTGATGCCGATGAGCTCACCGCCGTTGACGGCAGTGACGCCCTCCATGTGGACAGAGCGCTTACAGTTGGAGTTACCCTTGCAGTTACCGCAAGAGCGGTAGACCTTGCCATAGTCGTTGGCATCTGCAAGTGTTAGTATGACGTTGAAGATCCATAAGATAAAGGACTTGACATACAAAAGTTGACGATGTTGACATGACCGCATCCATTGTGCTGAATAATCTTGTCCGCAGCCTTATAAGCACCACCACCAATAATATTGGCAGTTCCACTACCCTTAATAGAGATAGCATCCTCGCAAACATCCTCAAACCACACAAACTCAAGGTTACAAGCACCAAGACAGTGCACACCCTCCTTCTGGTTCGCACCAATAACAACGTTGCGAAGAGTAGCGCCGTCTTCGAGGACGAACACAGCGTCCTTCTCGCCGCCTTCGCTCTGGCCAGAGCACTTGACGCCGCGGTCGTAGCGAACCCACTTGGCGTCAAAGACTTGGCCCTTCTTGAGGTATTGGGGGGCGCTAAGGGATTTGTTGCCTGTGGCTTTGGGGACGCCGCCTGTGTAGCCGAGGCAGGCCATTGCGGCGGGGAGGGTGGTGAGGAGGGTGAGAAGGCTGGAGGCGTGCATTTTGGCGGTTGAGAGTTGTGTGTTGAAGAGAAGCCGGTCAACGGTTGATGAATGGTAAAGATGGAAGTGAATGTCGATGCAGAGAAACAAAGCTGAGATGGCTGGATAGAGATGATCGAACAGGAACTAACCATCCTTCTTATACATGCTCCCTCTTTAGCCGTCGCGATCAATCCGACCGAGTACGATCCATCCATGTCGTCCCAACACCTTGGTTCTCAGCAAGTCACCCACAAATTTTAATTCGCCTATCCCCCTCCCCCATCTCCATCAATCAGAACAAACATCATCATCCGCTTTACACAAATAAAATAAGGTGTTCAGCTCCTTGTTTCAGGACGAGCTTTTTCCTCCACTTAGGTGACGGATAGCCCAGCTCTGATAGGCTAGTCATCCCGGTCGATGTTTAGGGATGCGCGTATCTGACTTAAGCTTATTTCGCGTTCGGATGACTTAACCGCTTTCAAGACTTGATGCCCGGAGATGGGGAGGCTGTGCTGTTAAAATCCGTGGTTTTGTGGAGTGCATGCGTTGAGTTGTTTCGAATCATCTGATAAGCTTATTGGGGCGGGAGGTCCTAACGGAGATGACTGCGGATTTGATTGGTGGTGAAATTTGGTGTTTTTGCACCGTTGACAGCGCGACTTCCGATACGAGACGGAAGACTGGCTCCGATGATGTTTTGAGAGAAACAAAGGAAGATCACCCTCGGTGTATTCTTCGCCGAATGATGAATGCGAGATGGAAGTACGAAGTCATGGTCCATGGGAACGGCCACCTGCGAGCACGTTCACAAAGCCCAGGACCAATCCGTGGAGCGGCCTATGGAGTTCTGTGTTCACTGCTCTCGATAGAAATTGAGACAGTTTTTGATCGAGGAGCCGGACTCAGGAGCGGACCGTACCGAGGAACTCACTACAAAAATGTCACCGCTGCCTGTTCAATCGGGGAACAACTCAAACAAAGACGACACAAGAATGCCTCGATCGCGCTACCAAGCGCCCGGGCCGCTCTTCTATGGCGTCAAGGCTACGCCCGAAGATGCGCTTGCCAGAAGACTCACCTATAGCAATTCAGAGATATGAGGGAGAAATGCACCGCTTACCCGGTTTGCCGCATTCCTTATAACGAGGCTTGAAGGACCCAATCTTATCCGCGGTTGGAGATCATCTGGGCAGGTCTGGATAGCTACTTCGGCGAACCAGCGCCATGTTTGCGCGACAGTATTCCAGTGCCTGACTCTTGCACCGGACTTTTGATCAGTGTGACCTCGAAAGTCAGCTGGCTACGAGAACATAATCGAACGAGATCCTGTCCTGTTTGATTTTACAAGAACACATCTGTCATTTTGATACAGTGCCTTTAGACCTTTTTGGCATCGGTGAGCCAAATTAATGATACTATGGCACTCTTACGTACGATACCGACACCTGTTCACCAAGTTCATCCGTATATTCGGATAATACTCCTCGTCACTCTTCTCAACTGCGGTTTAACAATACTCTTTTTCTCACATCTCATCTTCTTTCCAAACCTTACTAGATCTCACATTCCCCTCGATCTAAGCACATCATCTGTCAAACGTGTTTTGCAACCGTTGGCTAGTAGACCGGATATCTCAAAGTCATGCGTTGAAGGGCACCGAGAAACCCTTGACTCGGGATACACGATTGAGGTCAAATGCAACATGTATCGACAGGGAGTTATATACGATGAGGTATCTTCCTACAGCGAATGCGCGACGATCTGCGAGTCACTAGATATCGATGTGTGCTCATACCATCCACCATCAAGACGCTGCGTTGTAGCCAGCCTTCATGGGAGAGATATACCCAGAGACGGTGTCTATTACATCACCAAAGTCACTGAAAATGATACTGAGGACGTCGATTCTCTCGGCCATGGGAACTTCTTCGAAGAGGCACCAGCTCAAGAAAAAGACGACTATCTCCGCCGCATAGCTCGCCTCGAAGCCGAATTGGATCAATGTCGCTCTACTGCCAGTCCATCATCACCTCTATGCGGCGTCCAAGGCATCGCTATCCATGGTCGCATTGATATGATCAAAGTCAGCGGCGTCGATGCATGTAAAGCGATTTGTCTGGCCAATCCAGCGTGTCAAGCTTACTCCGCGTCCGACGACCCGGGAGATTGGTGCTATATCTTTGATAGACCTCACGGGGGCGTCACGACCAGTTACTATCACTACTTGCATACATATGATCGCGATTTTTGAAAGATTTATGCTTGGAGAGATAAATAGAGAGGATTTTAATTGTTGGTGTCGGGATGCGTTAGCCGAAACCGCAGCCGACATCCGCGGAATCGGAAATATGGCATCGTGGTGGAGCACGACTCTCAACGCTTGGGCAGTGGCTAGCGAAAACCCCGCAGTATATAGATCAAGGACACTCAATTGACCAGTTTCTTCTGGAAATATTCTGCCCGCAAGGAACTACACGGTAAAGTGTACAGCCATAACAACATGTCGGCCTCTGATTCAGTTGTCTATCACTACCTCGCCATCGGTAAGCTTGGCCGTGGTGAGGTTGTTAAGTAAGTCACGGCTTCAGTCCTTTGATCGCCATGGACATACTCCATACGTTGGACGAGTACTAACATTCATGCCCAGGCTGTTCATGATTGATGCGGGCATCAAGTTCGAAGAGCGTTTGTACGCACGAGATGCTACTTGGCCCGAGACGAAGGAGAAGTTGAAGAAGCAGGGCCTTACTCGCAACGGACAGCTTCCTTCCGTAGAGTACAAGGGCAAAGTCCTCACTGGCGTCAGTTGTAATTTCCCGAATCAGGTTATCATGACAGAAACTGACACATCATGGGTAGCACGTTCCCATTCTCCGATATCTCTCGCGTGAACTTGGCGCATATGATGGCACAACCAACGACGACAAGTACTTGGTCGATCTCGTATCAGACATCTATGTTGACTGGAGAGTAAGTTTCCTTCTCACGACTATGTCTGCCATAGATAAAGCTGACTGGGTCACTAGGTTCAATGGGTAGCCAACCTCAAGGGCCTTAAACCTGATTACAAGGAAAAGGACGCTCCTCCATACTACGAGCTCCTTGGTCAATACTACGCCGAGCGTGAGGGGCCATATCTTCTTGGAGATACTGTCAGCTATGCCGACTTTGCTGTCTACGTCTCACTTGACAATGACATTCGAACAAATACACTTCCGGTACCTTTTATAATTCTTAAGCGAGTGACAGCCAATCTGACATGAGATACACAGGAAACCCTCCCCGAGTCCATAGTCAAGTTCCGAAATGCATTCGAGGCTCGACCCAACATTGCCGAATATATTAAGCAGGGCTAGAGTATAGATAAGTATAGACAGAACAGAAAATACTGCCGCCTTTGACCCTTGCCTGCAAATTGAACTCGTGAAGCTCCCTAAAGACCTTGAGAGCCCAAGTAGGCTAGCATAACTTCATAACCCGCTGTGGCATTAGTAGAAAGTGTGAGACCATGGCCTGTACCGGGCTGCAAGTGTACATCGATATGAGACGCTGCGGGATTAAGACCCTTGAGCGTTTCCATATCATAGGTGTTGTTGCAATCGCCATCACAGAAAGGGTAGTCATTCTCGCCAATAAAGTACTAGTAGACCCATTAGCCCGATATCTATAACGCATTAAATGAAGATAACATACCTGGAGGGGGCCTTTGAACTCAGTGACAGGCTGCCCGATAAGACCAGAGGACAACTCTCCAACGGTGCCAGTCTGTTTAGTCTTCTCAGCATACTCAAGCGCTTCTACTTCAAAAGATCCCTTCTTGAGGAAGATCTGCTGGATACTGCTCATACTGGCCTGTACGACATATCCGGCAGGACGATCGCCGAAGCGCTTGGGGTCGTGCTGTCGCGCAAACTCAAAGCCAAAGGCATTGGCCCCGACCTTGCCACGTTGGTTGTTAGGAAGAAAGCCAGTCAGGATAGCGCCGTCGCTGAGATTGCCATGGAGGGAGAGAAGACCACTTGTGGTGGCTGAGCCGAAGGAGTGTCCGATGTGAACTACTTTCTCGGGCTTGTAATCGTAGAAAGCCTTCTGGGGACGTTTAACGGTGATCTTGGATGATTTCAGAAGGTTTCCGTCCCGCGCAAGAACCGTGAGTTCTTTCAGGATCGCGACTTGTAATCCAAGCTGGACCTCGTTATATCCGTCGGCTTTGGTAGACTTGCCAGTTCCGAGGCGATCATAAGTAAGGACGGAGTAACCTTTCGCGAGAGCAGCGTCGACATAGGAGTACTCCTCAGGCTTGAACTCAGGATCCCAGTAGCTGTCTCAAGCAATTAGTACTCGTTTAGGCCCTATCCATGTTGTACGCACCTCTTATCAAAGCCAAATCCATGGGTCGCAATCTGCAACACGTCCGACTTCTTGCAATCGGCAGGAATGCAGAGTTGAGCGCTGATGGAGTAAGTTCCCTGAACAGGAAGGACCTCGGTACTTCTGTTGGCATGCGACCAGGTGGAAGTGTCCCAGATAAAGTCCACGAGGTCGATGTTGCTTTCAACTTTGACGGAATTGTAACGGGTATTGTTGGCTGAAGCCGTCACGGGAATTTGGAGTTGGACACAGTTCTTGGTGTGGCCTGTAGGCGTTGCGAGTGCAGGTAAAATGGCTGAGAGCCCAATCATGAGTCCTGTGACTTTATGCATTGTCGTGGATGTGTAATTTCCTGGTGAGAAGTCTGAATTGTGATACTAAGAGAGGAGGTTGTAAATGATGGTAGATGACTTCTTACTTATAGGTGTTCAAGGCCATTGTGAACCCAAGGACTGGAAGCTCAATGTCTGGCAAAGGCCAATGGGATTTGGAATAGTTGTTTAGCAGTATTCTGAACCTGGCGTATTACAGCGTATAGTGGGCGTAAAGACGTATCTTTACCTCGAAGCTTACATATACAGCTCCGCCCCGTTACGACACTGCATGTCAGGACCGGAAGATCCGGGAAGTGTTACATGGACTCTGCATTACCTGAGCTGGAAAGGAGAGATAAACCCCCCCCCCCAAAGAAATGTGATTCACGAAACAGGATAGATCGTGATGCGACGCCCTTTCCGACCATGCCCTTTCCTTAAGCTTTCTTATCCGCTCTTTTCATCTCAACATCAAACGCCTTTGACTTGATACTGGCAGCCTTCCCATCCTTGCCATACTTAAACTCAAAGTGATCCATTGAAATTCCATTGTAAATGAAGCGATCGAGCATATGCCAAGTAATACACGTCACATCCTTGACCTTGGTCAAGCCTTCAATCATGTCAGCCTCAGTACCACTGAGTGTCGGAAACACAGCTCTCCGTGCGGCGCGAGACTTGTTCTCAATACCAGTAGGATACAAGCGTATGGTGTTGATGGCTGGATCGGTAGTATTGTTAAATCGTCCGGGTTGAAATCGGTTCAAGTTGGGAAGGATGTCAAAGCCTCGGGCAGTCCATTTGCTCAAGACGAGACCAGGCCCTTTATCCAATGAGAGAGTAAGTGCAGAACCAGTCCTTTTATCGACATACTGTCCAGCAAAACGAGCTTTAGATTCGTCACGAGCTGCCATGTCCATGGCTGGTATCAGCGCCTCGACGATATTGAGAGTCGCGAGCTGCGCCCAAACACTCGAGACTTCTGGTCCTGCCCCAAGGACAGACACGACAAGGCCAGTGTCAGGAATCATGGCCATGCCGGATTGGTAGCCGCTCAGTGTACCTCCTTAGGTATACAGATCGATGATGCGCCCGTCGGAAGTCAGGTTATCCACGCGGTAAATCTCCCAAGGCGATCCAACGGATGCACTCCAAGTTGATGTGAAAGTGTTTGGCTTGAGCCAGCGGCGAGTGTTGGGTGGGGATAGGGCTTTGTTCTTGAGAATGCTAGTCATGAAAGAGGGCATGTCGGCGGTGCTAGAGCCCATCGCGCCGGCACTTGATTGTGTTAGCGAGGATGTGGCTTTGGAGGAGAAATGCTTACGGAGCGAAGATTCCGATATCAGCGTCCCAGCCAGCGTTTCCAGAAGGAATGAACATGTTTTCAGAGTTCTCTGGGACGATGCCAGAGTATGTTTGATTGAGACCCAGAGGCTTCAGGACCAGGTCCTTGATGGCGGCGTCGAAGGTCTTCTTCGATGCTGCCTCGACAACAAGGCCGACCAGACTAATTCCTGCATTGGAGTAGACGGGGGATTGGCTAGGTTGGTATATGGGAGGACGGTAGGACATGAAGATATTGAGGAATTCTATAATTGTTAGCCACAAACGACAAAGACATGATTGTTGACATACCCTTACGGGTGCAGACGGGAGCTCCAGGAGACCTCTGCAAGATGGTACCTTGTCATTCTCTGACAGCTTCGGGAGACCGAGAGCTTCCCAGTCCAACGGGAAAGCAGAGATATCAGTCGTCACTACTATCATTAACACTTAGGGTATTGCGTTTCTCGGGTTCACTTACTATCTCCACCAAGACCAGAAAGATGCGCCGCAGCATCACCGATAGCGATGTCACCCCAATGAGTGACATCAAGCTCATCATCAGAATGTGGGCTATCTCTGTGAGCAAGCCCGGGTATCCAGCGAGTCACAGGATCATTCATGCTCAACATCCCATCCTCTGCAAGGCGCAGCGCTCCCAGGACGGTGAATACCTTGGTAATGCTCCCAAGACGATAGACCGTACTAGCATTGATCTTCTTCACACCTATCTTGGTGTTGATGATGGAAGGCGTGTAGTGAGAGTCGAGTAAAGGTTCATCCTCGTAAATGGACCTGACTCCAACGGAGACGCCAGAGAGATTGAACCCTGCTGTTTGTCCTTTCAGAAAAGTGGTGATTGTATCAACGGCATATTGGACGGCGGGATGTTGACTGGCTTGTCGCGGCGGAGGAAGAACAGGACCATAAGGCGGACAATATCGTGGCGTAGTGCCAACAACTTGCTGAGACCCAGCAAGGAGAGTAAGGAGTGTAGGCAAAGACGGAGAGAACAACATTGTGAGGTATCTTTCGAGGCGAAGAATCAGATGCCTCAGCGATTCGATAATCTTCTCAAGAGATGTTGCGGGCTCTATTTATTCATCTCCAGCAGTTGTCTTTACCGGAATTCCGCCCGTTCAGGTGGTTTAGTGAGCAAAGCCCCTGAAAAGACCGAGCTGGCCCACTTCCGAAGGATCTAGCGTGTCTTGTTTTACAGGGATGTAACAGCCAATGGCACAGCCCAAGACCGAGTTAAACGTACAGTACGTGGTTCGAGAAGATTTGAATCACAATCCCGCCAAATCAGCTTTTCAGATTTGAAGTCTTTTAGCCACTGCACATCCACTCTGTTGACTAGTTCTCCGGGCGGAAGTGGATTCTGTCTGTTGACAAGTTGAACGATGGTGATCTCTAATACCGAAGCCATCGTATTTCTGCGGGCTGAGGTTTCGATATCGAGACCCCCGTCAGTCGACGCTCATCATCGTCCAGAACGATATCTATCGACATCCGCTCGCCCGCCTCCGTCTCTTGATTGTCGAACTCATGTTGGCTTCTTTTACTAGTGCTCCTTCTCTCCATGCCATTATCAAGTTCGATGTCGCGATATGTATGGCTGCTGACATGCTCCTGTCTTTGCTCTGTATTGATCGGAGTTTGTCTGAGACCGAGGATTTTTGGCATGAGACGCGATACCAGAGGCCGAAGAGTTGGCAGGCAAGCGCAGAGTAGCCCACAGCAGAGCTCAGCAATAGACCAAGCGCTTAAATCAGGGTTGACCCATGTAAGGTCGGAAGAGCGGACGATGTATCGAATCCGGATCGCGGATATCACACAAGTACTGTTCTCCGAGTCAGATCATGTGGGAGCATTGCAAACAGGTCAGAAGGCTACGTACAAGAGCCCCAAGCAGAAGATAGCCACTAAAACATATCGCTGTCGAGGCGCAAGCCTCAGCTTGACCAAGCAGGGTAGAGGAACAACTATAATGATAAGATCTGTTGTAATATTTCCTGCAGCATTGATATACCATATAGGATTGATAGACAGGCATTTACCGCCATTGCCTCTATTCCAGAAGGTTGAAATTGGTTGGCAGGTAAATATTGCAATACAGATCTGTGATACGCACCAGCCCGAAACTATAGCAGTAGCTACTATTAGAGCCTTCTGTGTCTCTTTAGATGCAAATGCTCGGTGATACTGTGCAAGAAATGTCATTCTAATAGCAGTAATTGCAACAGTGTATAAGATGGTTGAAGAGTAGAACACCTAAAAGGATTGTTAGCTGCCTGGACAAGGGATCTGAGATATGAGATACAGACTTTTAAATAGCTGGTCTGCTGGTGATGAGTAAGAGATGCCATATGGGTGCCAAAGCCATAGTTGATACCCAGAAGATTGTAAGCAAGACAGACCCGTATTTGAAGAGAGTTTTGATAGATCTTACCCCAGAAAACAACAAAAGTGCAGGCAAATATTAGAATCTATACAAAGCATAAGCATAATAGATAGTAGATCAAGAATACTGACTCACAAACGATATAATTGCACAGTAATCATCGACACCAATCTTCCCTACGAGGACAGCGCGTGTGAAGACGCGTAGCGTGACGACGAACAATGCGAGACAGGTGAGAGGAATGATAACACCCAAGACCATAGGCACTTGGGTCTCGTTGGTCGCCATGTTTCAGGTTCAAACATCACCTGGCGACAGGCGAGGACGGTGACTGAGATCAAATGAGGGTCTAGTGTCAGAAGATCTTCAAAAGAGGTGCAGGAGTAATATATAGGCCTGTCAAGCGGCTAGCAAAAAAGGCCTAGCCTTCTCGAATCAAGACACCTTATCAGATACGTCTACGCCCAGTTGTCATAGTCAGGCAGTGCACCGCTATGAAGATTGGCGAATTGATCCCTCTCGGGTTAGCAAGTAAGCCTCGTTGGGTGCTAAACCGACTGCCTTGGGACTAGAGTTGCTAGTTTTCTTTTAGCGTCGCAGTGCCCGATAGTCGAGATTTCTTTATCGGCCTGTGAAAGGGGGAATGCGATGATGTCTAGAGGGCTCTTGAGTTGACTCGTCTGGACCTCTCCATAATATAAAGTTCAGGCAGTCCCGACAGCGTGGTCTAGTGCCGACTGGACATGAACCATTGAGTTGGGTTGCAGACTAACACACTAGCCAAGCCTAGCAGAAGGATCTAGTGGAAATATCGCCTGTTATTGGAAAGCTTTGTCACGCCCAGATTCCTATTTGAATCGAATCCTGGGGGGAGAGCCAAGTTCTTTATGGTGATATCATGTCTCAGCCACAAGTCTCAACTGCAAACTCGGTGGGTCGGTCGGTTACTCGGTTTGATGATTTGCAACCTATATGCTGCTCTTAGGTCCGGAGCCGAGCGGAATTGACTTTTATCTGAAGGTTCTTTTACGGCATCGTATGATAGAATACCAACTAATATCTGTCTGCTGTTAAGCTCGCAGCTACAAGTGTTAACTGCAAACAACACATGTATCTAACAACTTAGACATATACCACAATGACTAACTAATGGCTACAGCGTAAAGCTGATAACATGAAAACATTTTAACGAACTCCTGCTCGTATCTTCAATATCAGGTAAAAGACAAGTATACCAAGTATTGCCAGCTTCAAGGCAGGCTCCCAGTTCGACGCTTCCAGCTGCTAAACCGCAGTCTTTTTGGTTTTATGGCGCACAGTTCGTTTTCCTATTGCAACGCGTTAAAATCACGGATACATCAATCAAGCATGGCGTATAGATCGAACGCGATGAACACCATATGACAGGTGAGCGTCACTAATCGCGCCTGGTCGTAGTCTGCATTCTCGTCCTTGAAAGTTTATTAGCGACCAGCCTGAATCCAGAGCCGTGGCTAGATACATCACGTCACGAACTACTATGTCCAATCAGGGCATGCCAGCCAAACCAGGCTAGGTATAGTGCCAGGGGAAACGTTTACCAGGAACGGCACTTTAGTGCGAAGTCAAGGCTCGTGGCGCAGTGAGTGCCGCACTGAGTTGGAATTTCTGCTTCAGCTCAACTTTCTAAAGGAGGAGCTTAAAGCGGTCTACTCTAAAGGCCGCAAGAATTGATTTCATTAGGTCATGCGCTAATATGAGTCATGACGAGTACTTTCTTCCCAATTGCATATGTGAGGATTTAATTTCGCTGCTCGAATCACTACTGCTCAACCTTTTGTCCGTATTTCTCTTCCCTTCTCTTCTTTTTCTCCCCTAATTGCCCGTGTATTTATCTGTCCTCTGAGTGAAACGCTCTCTCTGATGGATGTGATGTGATGCTTTTCTCCAGACTTGTTGCTAATTTGAACGTGGTATTCAATCAGTAATCGCAAGGTCTTTTAACACTAAACGCTGATCTCCTCTAGACTTGCTCAACTAATGGCACACCCCCAAAGACCGACATCAGCTTCCGGTCCGTGATTCATCATGTTTCTCAAATACGTCTCATTGTGGCCGAAGCACATTCTTGTGCCATGTATCCCAATATCTCTCATCCGCCCAAAAGTCCTTCCGTGGACCTCTAGTCTCATCATGCAACATGCCTTCCAGATCTCGACATTTGCACAACTGCACTTTTGCGAAGCGAGCTGGACTTCCGGCGCCTTTTTCGAGAGTGATACTTTCGTATCGTCGTTCCAGGTAGTCTTGCACTAGACATAGATGAACCCTCTCATGATTAGAAACATCTGTAAAGGGAATACTTTGCTGCGACACGTCGAGGGTTGAAGATAAGTTGTCAAATGTGTTCTCTTCAGCTGCAATGAAGACTTCCAAGATCTGAGCCTCGATATCGCCGCACCATGGACCCTCTCTTCCACTCTTCCGAAGGAGATTCAATGCTTGCTTTCGCCAAAATGAGTGTCTGTACTTCAGAGTCGCGAAGAAGAGAGGCTGAATGATGCCCATCTCTGGTGTAAACAACGGCAAGGAATTTGAAGGCTTGTCGCTAGATCGGATATCGAGGACTGCTTTTGCTGATGCGATGATCTCTTGAAACTCGAGAGCGTAGTGATCATATGCTGTTTCAAAGGGCTGAAGAGCGTTGGAAACGTATATGAATGCGGTGTAGCACTGCATCCGAAGGACCAACAGGTGTTCGTTCTGGTGATCTGAGATGCTGAGTTGAGGGTTGAGTTGATTGGATGATAGCCACTGCTGCAGGTTCCCGCGACACGTTCCCTGCTCGACCAACAGATCCGAGGGGATTTGAGTAGGGTGTGCGTATCTGTAGGGCAATGCTGATGAGATAAAACGATAGCTGGTATGGAGCATGAAATACAATGCTCGATCTGGAGACATCAAGGCAGAACTTGGCTCATCTGACTCCCCGGTCAATGGGATGTTAAGACTGGTAGCGTATGTCACCGAATGGAGGTTGAGCTTCTCGAATAAAGTCGCTAACCCACCATCATCCATCGGAGACTTTGCACCACTGTTCCCGCGTGTGGCCATCACAGCCAAAGCTCCTTGGAGGTGCATGTATCCCCTATCACTACGCTGCTGCAGCGTCTCCGTAAATCCCATGAGCAGACATGCCACTGCACAGGGAAAAGGACCATTCCGAAGATCCGAAACTTCGTTTTGAACGAGCCTCAGTGCTCGATGGTAATGTCGTGTCGCTGCCAGTCCTTCCCGAGATCTAAGCATATGCTCGTCATATGAAGCGCCAAATGCAGCGGCAGCAGCTTGCACAGCGGGGATTGAATGGATCATTTGGGGAACAGCATGACTCCAGAATGAAATCTCAGATTCATTCTTCGCGCGACGTGGTCCTTGGCTGAGAAGTGTGCAGGTGAGATAGACATAGCGGTCTAGAGAAGAGGTTGGGCTGTGCTGGGGATTTGGGGCGGATAGAAGTGCGGCTTCCGCTGCCCTCGGTGATGGTCCTGGTGGTGCGCCAATGGGGTAGCCAAGATATGACACCTTGGAGAAGAGACAGCGTCGGCAAGATGGGTTTGTCTCATCGCATTTCAC